GATCATAGATATGGTCTTGGATGGTCGCTCCTGCCTCTCACAACTACTGGATCACTATGATATGGTCTTGGATGGTCGCTCCTGCCTCTCACAACTACTGGATCACTATGATATGGTCTTGGATGCACTGAAAGAAAATCAGAATGCAGATGTAATATACACAGACTTTGCAAAAGCATTTGACAAATGCGATCATGGCGTAATAGCCCATAAAATACGTGCTAAAGGAATAACTGGAAAAGTGGGGAGATGGATCTTCAACTTCCTAACAAATCGAACACAAAGAGTAGTGGTCAACAGAGTTAAATCGGAGGCTGCCATAGCTGGAGTTTACCTGGAGAGAGTTCCGGGGGTCAACGCCCCCGCGGCCCGGTCTGTGACCAGGCCTCATTGTGGATCAGAGCCTGATCAACCAGGCTGTTACTGCTGGCTGCACGCAATCCAACATACGAGCCACACCCCGGGCTGGCCAGTACCGACTTTAGGTGCTTGTCTAGTGCCAGCTTGAAGACTGCCAGGGGTCTATTGGTAATCCCCCTTATGTATGCTGGGAGGCAGTTGAACAGTCTCGGGCCCCTGACACTTATTGAAATGGTCTCTTAACGTGCTAGTGACACCCCCCTGCTTTCATTGGGGGGTTTGGTGCATCGTCTGCCAGTCTTTTGCTTTCGTAGTGAGTGATTTTCGTGTGCAAGTTCGGTACTAGTCCCTCTAGGATTTTCCAGGTGTATATAATCATGTATCTCTCCCTCCTGCGTTCCAGAGAATACAGGTTTAGGAACCTCAAGCGCTCCAGTAATTGAGGTGTTTTATCTCCGTTATGCGCGCCGTGAAAGTTCTCTGTACATTTTCTAGGTCGCAATTTCACCTGCCTTGAAAGGTGCTGTTAGTGTGCAGCAATATTCCAGCCTAGATAGAACAAGTGACCTGAGAGTGTCATCATGGGCTTGGCCTCCCTAGTTTTGAAGGTTCTCATTATCCATCCTGTCATTTTTTCTAGCAGCTGCGATTGATACAATGTTATGGTCCTTGAAGTGAGATCCTCCGACATGATCACTCCCAGTCTTTGACGTTGGTGTTTCGCTCTATTTCGGGGCCAGAATTTGTTTTGTACTCTGATGAAGTTTTAATTTCCTCGTGTTTACCATATCGGAGTAATTGAAATTTCTCATCTTTGAACTTCATATTTTTTTTCGGGCAGCCCACGAAAGATTTGGTTGATGTCCGCCTGGAGCCTTGCAGTGTCTGCAATTCTGCCTGGAGCCTTGCAGTGTCTGAAAACGTCCGCCTGGGAGCCCGCAGTGTCTGCAATGTCCGCCTGGAGCCTTGCAGTGTCTGCAATGTCTGCCTGGACCCTTGCAGTGTCTGCAATGGAAGACACTGTCATGCAGATTCCAGGTTCATCTGCAAAGGAAGACACGGTGCTGTGGCTGACATCCTTGTCTATGTTAGATATGAGATGAGAAACAAGATAGGAGCGAGTACTGTGCCTTGTGGAACACGGGGAAAGCCAGTACTGTGTTTTGTGGAACACGGGAGCCAGTACTGTGCCTTGTGAAACACTGGGAGCGAGTACTGTGCCTTGTGGAACACGGGGGGAGCGAGTACTGTGCCTTGTGGAACACTGGGAGCGAGTACTGTGCCTTGTGGAAACACTGGGAGCGAGTACTGTGCCTTGTGGAACACTGGGAGCCAGTACTGTGCCTTGTGGAACAGAGCTTTTTCCCCCGGGTAGCTGCCTCGGACTTTACTCTGTTGCAAACTACTCTTTGTATTCTGTTTGTGAGGAAATTATAGATCCATCTACCAATTTTCCTGTTTTTTCCTTTATCACGCATTTTTGTGCGCTATTACACCCTTGGTCACATTTGTCGAAGGCTTTTGCAAAGTCTGTGTATATTACACTGCATTCTTTTTGTCTTCTAGTGCATCTAGGACCTTGTCGTAGTGATCCAATGTTGAGACAGACAGGAGCGACCTGTTCTAAACCCATTTTTCCCCTGGGTTGTGTAACTGATGGGTTTCTAGATGGGTGGTGATCTTTGCTTTTTAGGACCATTTCAAAGATTTTTATGATATGGATGTTAGTGCTATTGGTCTGTAGTTCTTTGCTGTTGCTTTACTCCCAAACCTTTTGTGGAGTGGGGCTATGTCTGTTTTTTTTTAGTAACTGTGGGACGACCCCCGTGTCCATGCTCCCTCTCCATAGGATGGTAAAAGCCGTGATAGGGGCTTCTTGCGTTCTTGGTGAACAGGGATTTCCCTTGAGTCTGGCCCGGGGCAGAGTGCATGGGCATGTCATTTATCGCCTTTTTCGAAGTCATTTGGCGTCAGGATAACATCAGATGGGCTTGTGTTTATCAAATTTTTGTGGCTCTCTCAAAAAAAAAATAATTTTGATTTTCGACTCTCAGTCTGGTTAGGGGCTTGCTAAAAACTGAGTCATATTGGGACTTGAGTAGCTCACTCATTTCCTTGCTGTCATCGTGTAGGACCCATCTTGTTTTAAGTAGGGGCCCAATACTGGACGTTGTTCTCGACTTTGATTTGGAATAGACAGAAAATACTTTGGGTTTCTTTCGATTTCATTTTTTGGCTTTTAGTTCTTCCCGCGATTCCTGACTCCTATAAGATTTCCCTTTTGCTTAAGTTCGATGCTTGCTATTTCTCTGACCAGTGACTCCCACCATTTCGGATATATTGACCTCTTTTAGCCGCTCTGTTATTCTTTTCCCTCGCCTGTAAAGGGAGCGCCCTGTCCCCTTTCTGTTTTACAATCTACTCCTCCTTTTTCTTAGAGGAAAAAAGTCTTGTGCATACATCGAGTGCCACCGAGTTAATCCTGTTCTAGGCATAAGTTGGGGTCTGTGTTGCTTAGTAATCTCCCAGCTTATATCGGGTTTGGACTTGGTTTACTTGGTCCCACTTTATGTTTTTGTTATTGAAGTTGAAAATTTTGGGGAATGCTCCCTCGTGACTAGTCTCATTTGTCGGTCTGGGGCTCCACGCATACATGTCTGAACCTCAATTATGTTGTGATCT